TAATTAAGAGTTTTGTTATGATTCTTAGCAAGTAMTGGATTTTATATTCACMATTAGTTTCAAAATGACTTCAGTTTAGGTTATGAAAACTCAGGATGTCTGCAACAGTGTGTGTGCATATAGACTGTAAATAACTCTTGATGGATAATTATTGAGGTGTATTGAGCTCAATCCAATTCATATCTATACAGTTGTTTTAAAAATGTTGACCTAAATACGTTTTTTTAAATGATCTAATACCCGTATTAGATCATTTAAATTTATGAATAATAATTATCTTAACTTTCCTTTCTTTATCAATGACTTCTTCATGCTTCCATATATTATAAATTTAATGTTGATATTAATTTAGGCTGAAAATCCTAATTATAATTTCCTTTTTTAATTTTCATTCATCTCAATGTTTTTAAAAACAGGTGTACTTAGTCCCTGTTGTTTTACTGATGTGCAATTAGTTGATCTTACATGTGCTGCCTTTTTATGTTAGTTGTTTTTTGTTTTTGTTTTTCTTTATTCCTTCGTAATAGCTGTAAATACCTACATGYATGCTTGTTGTGCAGCCTTTTTTCGTTTTTTTTTATGCATTCACCTTGCTCTCGTGGTATTCTTACTAAAATTGCATTTTTTACCACATGATAATTTTCGCGCTTTCTGATTGGTCGAGAGCTGTGGTAAATAAAAGTACATACCATGGTCTCTACTTTGCTTGCAATTAACTTATACTTTAAAGAAAAACAATGGACTTTCATGACTTTTCTGTCATTGGAATTTAAGTCCTGACTGGGCAGACAAAGAAAAAAAAAAGTGTGTATCAAGATTTGTTGAAATAAATGTTTTGGTTCCGTTTGAAATGAGATTTCAGTTGTTCATTTAGCTTGCAAAACGCACGAAGTAGTGATAAAAAATGATTTGTGGTAAAAAACAAATTCACGATAGTTTCTTGTGGTATGTCCTCTTATGTACCACAGTTGGGATCATCTCATTGTCTAGATTGTTGTAGATCCACTCGACTTCGTCTCATGGATCTACAACAATCTAGACGATTCGATGCCCCAACTATGGTAAATAAGAGGACATACCACACGAAACTATCGTAAATTTGTTAAATACATTTAGTGAAAATGAACGTCTATATTGACACACTATCATTAAGATAAGCTGTGGAGAAAAWTTTGATTGTATTTCACTTATATACATGTATATTTGTCTTAGACTTGACCCAGAGAAGTGGGGAGTTAATGTACAAGCCTACTCTGGATCACCAGCTAACTTTGCTGTTTACACTGGTCTTCTCAAACCTCATGATAGAGTGATGGGTCTTGATCTTCCAGATGGTGGCCATCTTACCCATGGTTTTATGACAGATAAAAAGAGAATATCAGCTACCTCAATCTATTTTGAGTCCATGCCATACAAGACAGATCCAAAGACTGGTTATATTGACTATGACAAGYTGGCTGAGTCTGCAAGATTATTCCGTCCAAAAATGATCATTGCTGGAGTAAGYGCTTACCCTCGGCACTTGGATTATGCAAAGTTTAGAGAAGTGTGTGATGAAGTTGGTGCAGTCCTTTTTGCTGATATGGCCCATATTAGTGGATTGGTAGCAGCTGATGTTGTTCCTGGTCCTTTTGAATTTGCTGATGTTGTTTCTACWACAACACACAAGTCTCTGAGAGGACCAAGAGCTGGAATGATATTCTATCGTAAAGGAATCAAGGGCTAYAAGAAGAATGGTGATCCTATTAAGTACGACATGGGACCAAAAATAGATTTTGCATTGTTTCCTGGACTCCAGGGGGGTCCTCACAATCACCAGATTGCAGCTCTAGCCTCAGCTTTGAAACAAGCAAATACTCCTGAATTCAAGGCATATGCACAACAGACCCTGGATAACTGCAAAGCATTGGCTAAAGTGCTGATGGAGCGTGGGTACAAATTGGTTACTGATGGATCAGATAATCACCTTGTGYTKCTTGATCTTAGACCCAAGGCAATTGGTGGGGCRCAAGCAGAGAAAATCCTTGAAGAGATTTCAGTTACAGGTAAACTGATTGCAGATGTACAAACAGGTTTAAACAGAATAGATATAACAGGCATTCTTTTGTTGAAGAAGGTCTTYATAATAACAAGCTTTTGGCTGGCAGACTTACAGCTTTTGACAAGAAATATAAAAAGTAAATCAACTACAGTATTTATATAGTAAAGCAAGGTTTTGGAAGAGGTTTAGAACAATATGGTAAAGATTGACAAAGGAGGCTGCACACTGTACCTTGACTCCAATTATTATAACAAGATTKAGGATTGAGGATTTTGTTCTGCTGAAAGCCATCAAACATCACRCTTATACATGTACAGTGAAATGGATGTGGTGCAATGAAACATTTTTAAAGTTCTTTGTTTCAACATTCCTAAATGCAGCACRTGRAGACAAATTTTCAAACTTTTGCAGTTTTCTGACTTGAGATTGTTTCCCTGTATGTTAGTGTCCTTCTCAGAGYTCTTGTTTCCATAGGTAATCCAAAAAGGAAATGGTAAATAGTTGTAATCTATAGAGAAATTTGAGGCAATGACACAAGAAATTACATTCTATATAAGAATATTGCACTAGGTTTTACAGGCATATGGAGCTACCTTTTATTAAATTAAATCAAATTTCTTTTTGACAGTAAACAAGAACACTTGCCCTGGAGATAAAAGTGCACTCCATCCTGGTGGACTCCGGATTGGAGCACCGGCTCTCACTTCACGCCAGTTCAAGACAGCAGATTTTGAAAAAGTTGCAGATTTCATTGATCAAGGGATCAAACTTGGTCTTGAGATACAAGGTGTTTCTGGGACTGACTTCAAAAAGTTCCTCGAGACTCTGAAAGTTGATCCATTTACAACCAAGATATCTGCTCTTCAAAAGGAAGTCGAAGAATTTGCAGGAAAATTCCCCATGCCTGGCAGTGACATCTTTTAAAAACAAAGTAAAGTGACAATTATTATGGACTATTATATGGAAATGGAATGGAATTCTTTTGTTGGTCTATTACATTTGTATGGCTACAATTAATCATAGTTAAGGAAAGCAAAAAAGACAGAAATTTATGTAAATCAATGTCTTAAAAATGAACAGAGTATTGAAAACGGGTTATTTACGACAGTATTAATCTTGTGATATGAAATAACTAGGTAGAATTCATGATGTGGTTTCCAAGAGAATAAAAGAGAAAAAGGGTTTTTTGTAAATTGCCTTTTCTTTTCTTTTTTTTTTAAGTCGACAGCCTGTTCAGGGAATGCGTCCCCACCAGGGCAATAACAAGGTATATGTTTTTTCATTGATCCTGTTCGTAGGGCAAAAAACTTACTCATCGATCCCAAAAATGTTGATAATTTTGAGTCACTTATCCCATCTAAGATGTAGAGTTCCAAACTTTTCTACAGTACTTGTTGACCTCTTTGCATGTCTTCATACTTGGGGCTAATGAAAATGTCATRACAAAATAAAAATACATGCACTATAAAGCTGATCTCAGAAAAAAAATGATAACTCTCAGAAAGTGATCACTGAACCAAACCTGGTATATTTCATGACCCAATATATCACGTAACTACCATTCATTGCTGGTTTGCTATCGATGCTAAATGGTACGTGTATCACATCATCTAAAAAAACGTATTAACAACCTTGGAGGGGGGGGGACTCCCTAATAAAAAAGGGCGGGAGTCCTTGTCATCCCTTTAAGGGTTTGAAATTAGTGTTTTGACGATAATTCCCACGAACTGAGTTTCGTGATCCCTTTTAGGGTATACGACCACCCTAAGCTGTCCACATTATAAGTGCAACAACAACCTCAATTGCTAATTAGATGATTGATSTCAATACGGGCATGAAAAGTCATTTACTGGCCTCCCRTGTCAGTGAGATTCCTGTGTTAATTGCACATGGATTTGTCAGGTATTTGTACTTTTGACCATTTTATAATTCATGCTGTTAAACTTTCAGAATTGAAATAGTTGGTCTCCCTGTGGTCGGAATCAAAGCAAAAATTATCATTATAACTGGCCAATGGATGGTCTCGCATTACAATTTTCAGCGGTATTACCCAACTCGCGTGAAATTTGAACATGGCTTCGGCGCTGGAGTCAGATAGTGAAGACGATGAAGTTTTACGTCCTGCATTTACTACAAAAACATTTACTGTTACCAAAGAAATGGTAGATAATGTGTTGGCTGTTTGTCCTGATGTTAGTCGAGAAGTCGTATGTTCAGATTTGTATTATACAAATAGTATCASTACTACGATCAACAGAATTCTGGACGGCCGAGTTCAGGTTAGCCACTTCGTGAGATCAGCATTAAATATTACTTTATGGAATCCTGATTAGCTTTTAGCTTCAAGTCCCTTTAGTATATCATCACACTGCAATCATAAATCTCAGTTTAAATTGTTYACTACCCGTTCCATCTGCAGTGCTATGACGTACCACAGGAACSCCAACCTGACATGGATAACTTTAATAACATTTGCAGATTGTTTTGAAATAATTGGTATTTCAGGTTTCTGMAGGGGCAAATGCACTGCCTAGAAGCTCTACATGCTTTACTGCAAATACATCAGAAGCAGCTGTGACTGAGCAAGCTTCATCAGTAAATGTTGTATGTTTGAGTGACACAGACGTAGATTCAGATGTAGAGGATAATCAAGATAGAGACCAAGATCAAATGGAAGTTGACAATATAGCTGTAATAGAGACTATTAGTGACACAGCCCATAAAAAACAATCAAGTCCTTTGACTACCTTAAAGAAGAAAAAAGATATTTGCCACACAAGTGAAATAATTGACTTGAGTTTTGATGACAATGTTGAGGACAACATGACAGTTTCAAATGTTGGGAATTTAGGTGCACATGTGAATGATATTAGTGAACAAAGAAAATTGCTTAAAGACTACAGGTCTCAAAAAAGATCTTCATGTCCTTCCTCTGAAAGMCCYATTCCAATTGATGATGATGATWTCATTGTTGAAACATGTGAGACAAGAGTAACAGATATTTCATCATCAGATTCTGATTCTGATAGCTTACCATCAATACTTCCATCACTAAATGGAGATAGCTTATCAAACACTGACTCCCAAGACATGCTATTAAACAGTGAAGACAGTCAAACAGTTGTACCAAAGAAAAAGACAAAATATACATCTGAGGAAGTTCAAAAGAGAAAAGAAGAAGCTAGGGTATGTATAAAGATCTTATATGAAAAGCTCTACATGTATATCGACATGTTAAGTGTGCT